TCAGATTCGTAGTCTTTTCTCCTGTTGTATCTGGGAATGAAAAAATCAGATGATGGATTTAATAAGTTGCTTGAGAACTGTAAAACCAGCTGGGAAAAATTAAAATGAGAACAACGCAATGAGGGGAATATAGGCGTTTAATATCTTCACCTTCTGAAATGAATATTAAATTATTTCATTTGTGTGTAATATATTTTAATCAAGGTGCAATAATTAAAACTATAACATAAAACAGAAATTTAACTGTTTTGCTATGTTAGCGATCCCTGAACATATAGTGGATACAATTTTTAAAAAAATCTAGCAAATACCGAAAAACCGGGAGAAAAATTGTGAATACCGGTATTTCAAAATTGTACAAATGGCTCAAAGTACCGATGTTCGGTATCCCGATATTCGGTATCCCGATATTGTAATCCCTTATGGTATATGACTAATTTCGAGCGTTTTCGGTTTTTCCTTCGTGGCATTGCATTTTGGGTGGCCAGTAGTGCATTTTTATGTAATTAGACAAGCCGTGGAAATAGAGGTTTAGTTTTGAACTGAGAGAGCTGGTGCTTTTTTTTATTTTGTTGATTCCTTTTTGAATGCATTTGTGTCAAAAGGAAGTTCTTATATTGTAGTTTGTATTGTGTGTGAAGATCAGAAAATCCAAAGTCATCATTTTTAAAACCTCAATTTTTTCCCCATAATAATATAAACCAAATGAATTGATTAATACTCTTATGTATTTAATAATATCATGATGAATCAATCATAAGGAAATTTATCATACAGGCATAACAAAAATTTTACTTAAATTTTTGTTCCAGATTTTTCTTAGTAAATATATCACACACATTTCAATTTACACTACAAAATGAATTAAAATGTATAATTAAAAATTATTAATTAATTTTTAAAAATAAAAATAATAATTTAAATTATGAAATGAACGAAAATTATAAGTTACATAGTAATAATCAATCGCGTATGATATAATTTATTGACGTAAATGTGAAGCGGTAGTCAGATAACTAAAAAGGGCCGCGGTAGCCTAGTGATCAAGGTAACGAATTCGGAGCCAACGTGTCATGAATACCGCTGAAGACTCGCTGTGTAGGGGAGCAATGCACGTTAAATCTGTCGAGAGCTCAAAAGTCCTCCCTTTGGTGTGGTGTAGTAGTTAGGAGAGGAGGGTGCCAACTCACTGTGTCATCCTCTTCACTTGGCCATGATTCAAAATTACGAGGTCCATCACCAAATTGAACAATGTAACGTAAATATTCACTCATTCACTCAGATAACTAAAAATTTTTTTACATTATTGGCTGTATATCATGCCATTTGGTGACGGTTTTTGACTTGGCAAAAACGGTCGACTGGCTTATACGTAATTATCTAGGTACTACTTTAATACACAGAGCTTCACTAATGCTTAGGCATGTTGCATGTGTTATACCAGTTAGGTATGAATCAATCAAACTTAAGGAAAACATTTTCGAATGAATGGTTTTAATAAAAATTATTTGATGAATGAATTATGTGGTAACCTGTTTCGTTAGAAAAAATGGCAGTTCCTTCCTGTAGAGTGCAATCAACACAATTAATAAAATATTCAATTTCATTAATATTCGTTTGTTTATGGTAATTATAACAAAGCTAATTACTTCGTTATTCATAGGTGCGTTATGATTAGTATCAACAAAACTTTTTTAAGCTCGTTCCCATAATTGAGTTAATAGATTCCTTACAAGTAATTATCTAGAGACCAACTTTATTGTTTTATTGATGAAAAAGAGTATTATCACTCCAATAAACACAACTAAACAGCTTCACGGTCAATTTTTCTGCGTTGTATTATTAATTATCGAGACGTGAATGTTCTAACATTTGCATAAATCACTTCAGTTTTACCCGCCAGGAAGAAAAAAAATATTTATATTTACCATAAATATCTGTGTTTTCATTAATTCTAGTTAGTCTATCCATTTTTCTGATCATTCTCTTCTGTGTATTCTATTTTAGTTTTTAAGGCCTGAATTAACTAGTCTTGCGAATTGAAGTAAATTTATAAGATATTCTGACGCGAATGGGCTAAATGCATGCGACATCACAGTCACGTGATAAAAGGAAGGCAATTATTTTATACGCTTCGCTGTTGCCAACTTTTGATTTTTACAGAAACCTTCTTTTAAAAAATACAAATTTGTCAAGAATAAGAACAGGTGTGACGGCTCACGCGTCCTTTCTCTAACATAACCTCTGGGTTCCTTTACGGCCAAGATTAATGGCAAATCTTTTCCAACCCAAATCCAAGTGAAACGCGAAAGTATAGATGCAAATAAGATAGCCTTTAAAAGGACAGAAGTTTTAGTAAGCGGGATGGGAATTTAGAGAAAGTTCATTTTGGAAAAGGTAGAAGTGTAATTTGGCGGCCTACCCAAGAATCACGGATATCTAGCCTTACTAAAAGGTGCATACTGTTGCACACGAGCCCAACAGCCTTTCTGAAGGTGCTTGAACCGTTGCTTGGAATTCAAGGTAGGAAGATTATTTTCCGAATTCGAAATATTATTAGGACTGAGAGTAGGCGGATAATATAATTATTTAGATAAGTGATCCAATTGCGCGATCTGTTTTAATTACGGCTACGTGTTTTGGTTTATTCTCACTTAATATAAGTTTGTTCAATATATAAGTAATCTAAGTTAAATTCTTAATAAAGTCATATTAAGAATTCTAAAATGTCTCTTCATTTCGAGAATACCACACCTCTAACTTACGCTGACCCACAAGGATTTGGTCGACAAAGATCGACCATATCACACAGAGGCACATGTTAAAAGTACACGTAAAATATAATAATCTTTTCTTTAACTTTGGAAAACTTATGAAATATTTTAATACATGAGCATCTTTACTCAATTGTTAAATTTGTAATTATATCTGGTTTTTGAATTGAAACAAGTACAATACTAATGGAAGTTTTGAATTCAATGAAGAACACGTGATATGTGTCATGTAATCATCATGGATTTAGTTCACAACTATTATAAATGAATGACGAAATAAGAGGCCAATACTAGAACAGGTTATATTTAAGAGAATTAAATCACTTTTCAAAATATGAAATCTATTTTATTTACGATTAATAATATAACAATTATTTTAGAATTATTGATATACAAAAAATCCAGAAATGTTTTTAAACAATGGATTTTAACCACAAGCCAATAATGATTGGAGATGCCACCTAAAAATATATAAGCTTCAATATTATATATACTTATATAAAAACTTCAAAAACGTTTTATTCTTCTTTTAATTATCTGTTTATTTTTATGTAACAATGAAATTTTATCATGACTTACTTTGAATTAAAAAAGTGGTCAAAAATGTAATTAAGAACTATAGATTGAATGAATAAATATTGTTCTTAAATCAAATGGAATAAATATTTATTGTGTGTAATGTATTTGAAAAGTACGATTTTAACCTTTAAATATATTATTCACGCATAGAGGCTTTCTTTAAATATAATATTATATAATTTAACTAACAATAGTATCTCCAAAGAGTGATACGAATACTAAGTAGTAATAATATAAGATTCTCAAATCATGTATATTTTTTTCGAATCCACATCACTGTTTCTTTAGATCATTCACGCTATTCGAAAATCTATTTCTCATGAGACATATTAATTACAATTCTTATTATTCCTTGGTATTATTTATAAATAAAATTCAACAATAGCTTTATCGAACACAAACAAAATACGATGCATATGACACTATTTACAGCAAACAAACTATTACAACAAAAACTATTCGAAAACCAGCCGGAATTATAAATATCCATGAGTAACCCTGCATATGTACATATATCTTGTTTTATATAATTCCAAAAAGAATTTTCAAAATTAATTACACCTGCGACATATTTTTTTCCCCTTCGTTTGTTATTTAACTACACTGAAACTTAAACAAAAATTTCGAAATATCCCTTTTTCATATTCCTTTCTACCTTCCTTACTTTCTAAATTTAGAATATACCCCTTTGTATGTGTTCATAGAAAATAGAAAAACATTCTTTTCATATAAGAGCAGGACGAGTTAATAGCGAACTGCCTTTAATTATGCTAAACATTTCTCCCTTTTTAACAAGAAGAACAATTTTGTGAGATATTTCGCATTTTCGCATTCAGCAAGGTTATAATACGAAGCAGAAATTAATTAAACCCTCCCTCGTTTTAATGAATCGGTAAGTACGCTCTTCAATTTTCTATTTTAATTAATGTCGGTTGAATTTGACTTCCTCCTCGGTCTTGAGTGGATATTAACTTCCTCTTTGTTGCGCAGGCACAACAAAAATTACTTCATATAAGACTCTTTGCAGAAGTATTATTAATTAAAAACTTCTGACGTAAAATTAAGACGGAAGACTCCAGCGAAATGAAATGGAACGGTTTTGAAAAAAAGTCTTGAAAGAGAATAATTAAAAAGGTAAATGATATGTGTGTGCAAGTTTTATCTTCGAAATTTGAAAATTGCATGGTTAATTTTTTTTTAATTGAATAAGAGGAAAATTCATTTCCAGTTATCTAGATCGTTAATATATTGCAGAGTATGCATGAGAATACAATATTTTTCCTGCTTCATTTTTCTAAGCTGTGCGAACACATTAATTGGTATTAAATTTCTTAATGTCTCTCCTCCAAGGAACTGGCAGGTTATTTAAAGTTTCAATTTTCGGTAAATTAATGAAGCATTTTTTAATTCCTACTATTAGTTCACTCTCTCCCTATATATATCTTGTTCAAATTTTCAATCGTTAGTACAATACATTCTATACATCCATTCAAGTTCAAATACATTTTTTAAACTTGTAGGAAGACACTTGATGTTAATATAGTTTTTTTTAAATATTAATTCATTAATTAAATTTAAAAAAAGAATAAGTAATAACAAACAAAAAATAGTCCAACAGCATATATATAAAAGAAAATCGTTCGTTGTGTCCCTGTAGCACAATGAATAGTGCGTTGCAATTCTAATACAAATGTCGTTGGTTCGAATCCCACCTGGGATGGCCTAATTTCTGAGAATGTGATATCTATTTTACTATACTATTTTGTTAGAATAATTAAATTTAATTAATTAATGCCACCCATCTGGTATAGTGGTTAGTGACGCTGATTGTGGTGCCGTAGGGACTGGATTTGAATCCCGGAGATGGCATGGATGTTTATAAATGTACAGTGTCTTAGCGTCGAGCCGCAAGTCCTCTTGTGAGGTTGGTGGAAGGGAAAGAGAGATGAGAAACCCCTGGCCATCCCCAGGGTGGTCTCCCTCAAAAGTGGGGTGGAAACGACCAAATTCGCACTGTCACCTGCATGGTGCTCGAAACTGCTACTAAAGTCAGGCGCAAAAATCTAGCCCTTTGCCACAATGAATTTCGGTGACCTAGATCCGATGTTACTGTCGATCAGACGGTAGAAACAGCAACAACGATTAATGAAGAAATAGTAACAAACCAAAAAAAATGAAGTCTAACACCCTATATAGAAAGGAAAATGGAAAATTGCAAGTAAAATCACTGTCTATTTTGCAACTTAGTAGTGTGATTCTGTCATATGTATATACATATTGTAACTATTTAATAAAAAGTAACTAAAATAAAATTTATCTTTGTTGACCTAAGTAGGAATTTACTTAATTTTTTTATATTACTTGTTTATGTATTTATTAATTATTTTTATTGAAAAATATTAGCAAGATTAAATATTTTACATTAATATTAACCATTTTAAATCCTAGGAATAATGCTACAAGCAATATATTATTACAGAATTTTCAAACTTAGTTTTTCTTTCTATCTAAAGAGTGTTATGGTCAGAAACACTGTTTGTAAGTTAAGAGAGAAACTTCAATAATGTTAATAAATATAAGTGACACGGGTTACTCTTACCAAATGATGTCAAATTGTTAAATTTGAAGACAAAAATAGATGCTTTTACAAAAATCAAGTAGATTTTAAAACATGAGGGTTTCAGGAAAAAAACTTAGAAAGTTCTTTTAAAACTTTTTCGTTTTTAAACTTAATGTACTTTGTATTGCACTATGGGTGTCACACACAATTCTAAATTCACCACTTAGATAGTAATTTATATGAATTTTAATTACTTCTTATCATATTTACATGTATAATTAAAGTTATTGTTTAATGTCGAAAGTTAATCTGACTCCTCTTTCTCTACAGTCTGCCATCATGCTTCATTATCTTTATTTTTTTATTGATACTCTATCTATAGGTGGGTTCTAACAGATCCTAGAAGATTCTTTCCTGCCACTGTAAGGACGATGTAGGGAAGCAACACTGGAGTCAAACATTTGACAGTGACTGAGCGTTTCATTTCCTTATGCGAAATGGGCTAAATTGATGTGACGTCATAGTCTCACGATAAAAGCAATCACGCATTTCCAGTTGATCAGTTGAAGCTCTTCGGTGTTGCCAACTTTTGATCTTTTCAGAAACTTTATCTTAAAATTACATTATTATAAACAACAACAACATACTAGGGTTTGCGATAACGTGTTATATTTTCATTCCCGGGATTTTGGGATTACGTTATCCATTATCCGGGATCCAGCGATTGGTCCCTGGATTAGGATTGGACTATTTATGAAACACATTAGCATAGTGGAAGTATAGCATAATATAATTAAAAGTATAATTAAATAATTCGTTTGATAATATTATTTATTAAAACGGATCGAAACAAAACTAAATTCGTCATAAGAATTTCTAATAAAAAATAGTACATAATGAAATTAAAAAATTAAAAATTTCTTGTGTTTCTGTCCTGCAAAGAAAATGCTCGTTCATAATCTACTCTAGTAGGCTTTGTCGTCATTAAATAGAACTATGCTCTTCCAGGTAGTCAGCCATATCTCCCTCTCATTTTCAAAAAGAAACAGATCTCTTGGAATTTTTGATCACATTGTCTCAAATCTATTTGGCTGCATTGGTGCATCACACATATTCCTCTTTGATAAATTTATACAGTTCTTATGCTACGTTTAATAGATTTCGTGTACAAATTGATTCAGTTATTAAATCAGAAAGGGAATCACAATTTCAAGAGTGTTACTTCATTTGAAATAGAAGATCCAGTTGCATGAGCTGTTGGCAACGCAGCAGGATTTGAAGCGTCAAGTTTTTTCAAGTAGGTCCACTATTAATTTACGGCGCGTTGCACACGCAAATAAATGCTTGCCAGTGCATTTAGTGATTCCGACCTGGAGTCGTTTGTCTGTGAATTTAGTACATTATAAACTGAATATTAAATGCAAAAAATTAAAATGCATCTAGTAGTTTAGTACTCTAGGTTTAAAACTGCTCCGTTAGATTTTTTTTCAATGTATTTATCAATACCAAAACAATAATTGCACACAAATAAATTCTATTTCACTTACTTCATAATATATAAATATTATATATATCTTTCTGAGAATTAAAATCTTAGAAAATTTTGATGAGAAATAAATTTCAAAAAAAAATTTAGACAAAAATTGAATCCCGGGATTAGTTATTTTAATGCCTGGGATTTCGGAATTTATAAAGAAACACCAGATCCCGGGGCTGCAAACCCTATAACGCATTAAAGTAGACAAAATGCATTTTATTTAAAAGTATTGCGTAAAATTAAGAGTTTATTTTTCAATTTTAAAATCTTTTGAAGCAATTTTTTCATAAATTTGAACAAAATTAACGAGTTATGAAATTTTGAGCAAATAAGCACAATCAGTTTGATATCTGTTTTGAATTCAATAGAGAACACGTGATTGTCCCTATCATGTGATCAACATGAACTGAGCCTATTATGATTATGGATTTAAATTGCTATGTTAAATATATCTGAGGGATAATTTTTTTGAATATGTGCTATTGTGGTTTGTAAGTGTACGTTTCGTTTGCTTCTTTTAGGGGAAACAAGTAATATAACAAAAATTCCTACTTAGTACAACAAAGAAAAATTTTATTTTAGTTACTTTTTATTAAATAGTTACAATTAATATAAATATTAGGTTAGGGAAAAAGAAATCCATTATTTTTTCGGTAGATGGCTGAAGTGTCGATATCTCGTGAAGTATCGATCAAACAATTTCAAATTTATGCTCGATTTTAAAGGTGACATTTCACCCTAAAAAAATTCTTTTGCTTTTTTTGTTTGATCCATTCAGTTGTGAGTTACAGGGGGTTAAAAATGGAAGTCAACAAAGAGAAAATTCGGCACAGTTTACTGTTTTTCTTTGATAAAGGCGAAAATTTAAGCCAGGTACTGAAATTGTGAATAGTGTTTATGGTACCGAAAATTGTGACAGATAATTACGTGCAATTTTGGATTCGTAGATTCCGTTCAGGCATTTTTGATGTTGAAGATGTACCTCGCACAGGCAGACCCCTCGTCGAAAATGTCGCTAAAATCACAGAAATAATCGGTTGACAAGCATGTTAGTAGTCGTAGCATCACCCAGAAGCTAAAGATTTACCATAAAACAGTTTTAAATTATTTGTGCAAAGTTGGATTCAAAAAGAAGTTCAATGTTTGTGTGCCACACCAATTAACACCAAAAAAACATAATGGATCGAATTTCCATCTGCGAAGCCTTGCCCAAATAGAAAAAAATCGACCCATTTCTTAAACGAATGGTGACTGCGGTTGGGAAATGGGTCACAGACGATAATATTGTGAGAAGACGATCGTGGTCAAAGCGTTGTGAAGCAGCTCAAACGGTGACCAAACCAGGTCTAATGGCCAAGAAGATTCTACTGTGTATGTGGTTGGATTGTGGAAAGGAATAATTTATTATGAGCTGCTTCCGTTTGGCCAAACTTTAAATTCAGATCTCTACTGTCAACAGCTGGACCGTTTGAAGCTAGTTATTGACCAGAAACACCCAGAATTGGCCAACAGAAAAGGTGTTGGGTTCCATCAGGACAACGGCAGGCCACACACATGACTCACCAGAAACTCTGGAAGCTAGGTTGGGAAGTTTGAATGCATCCACCATATAGTCGGGACCTGGCACCAAGTGATTACCACCTTTTTCCGGCATTTCAGAACTTCCTGAGTGATAAGAAATTGGGATCAAGAGAAGATTGTGAAAATCGGTTGTTAGAGTTTTTCGCCAATAAGGACCAAGACTTCTATGAGAGAGTCCTTATGAAGCTACCTTTAAAATGGCGACAAATTATACTACAAAATGGTGCATATTTGTCCCAAATCGGACATTTCAAAATATGTTAAAAAAAGTCTTGAATTCCATGCAAAAATAATGGATTTCTTTTTCTCCAGCCTAATATGTATTTCCATATGACAGAATCACACTATTAAGTGATATAATAAAAAGCGATTTTTTCCTTGCAATTTTCCTTTCTATGCAGGGTGGCACAAAATTCACCCCCAAACTCACAGGAAACTGTAAGAATCATTTATTGTATATATAAATATTTGGGCACAAGTGATGTAGTGAGGCACATACACAAAAAAGAAGAGACGAAAGGAAATGCAAAGTGTTTATTGAAAGCGTCGTTGATAAAAGTAATGTTTACAATAACTTAATAACTGCTCAGCACATGAGCTATGAAGTCCGGCTGTATCTCACATTGCTCTAACACCCACTGGTAGTCGGAGGAGATAGCCTGCCGGATTCAAAGCGTGTACTCAGTGAAAATGGAAGAGGTGTAAGTGATTTTCGTTTAACACTCTACAAAATGGTCTGATGACTCACACTTAAATGATGAGCTCAAGTACTAGAGCTGTTGCTCTTGCACTTGACTCTTGTTTAACAGCCCCAACGTTTAAGATGTTTTCTTCCAAGCTTGGACTGCGTACGGCATTTTGTCAATCAGTATCATGTCTGGTGAGGTGGTGTGATACCCCGCACGCTGGGGGTATCATCTCTTCATCATCTACGCAACTTATGTTTGGGGAATGAAAGATGGACCACTAAACTCTGCCATAATAAAATTAGTTTATTATGATCTTAATTTATATACAATAAGGCAACACTAGTCTAGAAGGC